AATTGTCTTATATATTTGAGTTATATTCTAAATTATTTGGTATTCAATTAACTCATTTTCAAAAACCTTTATGGCAATGGTGGTTGTATGAATTGCAGGCGGCAAGACAGCTAATAGAAAGGAGAAAATATGTAGAAAAGTTCACTCTTTGGTTTTTAAGTAAACTAAAGTCACAAAAAAAAATACTAAAAACTTATCTTGAAAAATGGGAACTTCTTCAGCAATGGCTCGCAAATCCAATTCTAAAAATACAAATTGAATGTCTTGTAAAGTTTGGTGAACATATTTATAAGCCGATTATGAATTTCCTTACTGGATTTAATGACGAACCACAAATTCTTAAATTGGATGGTCAACTATTACCACTTTTAGCAGGCCGATGAGCCCACAAAATGTCTGATGCTGTTGTTAAGTGGATGGGAACTTTGTACAGAGTTAGAGATGACATTTGTTTATTTTTTGACACAGAACTATGGAATGCTACAAATATCTTTGATGATGAGGGGTTTGAAATTTTTTTTAATAATTTTAGTACTTGGTATTGATAAAGTTACAAATTCTTTAGAAACTTGGATGGGTATGTGGCTTCACCTTCCATTAAGTATTTGTCAATTAGGTGGTAAATATAGTCGTGAATTCGCTAGAAGTTATTTGTGTGTAAGGTTAAAACGGCAACGAAATCGGGTTCCTAGTCTTAAAGAGTTGTGTTATACAACTCTTTTACAATCTGATATTGAACAATCCAATTCCAATGATTTTGGCTTATTACAGGCAATTGAGGATCCATTATTTTTAAAAGAACTATTAGATTTTGCTAACTCTGATGAATTACCGATTCATACTTTTCCTTTATTATATGAATTTGTCAAATGCCAAATTTATTATATCATTACTTATCAACAGCAGGTTGAAGGTTTATTTAATAAGTATGACCTTAAGTGTCATACGAACATGAATCTCAAAACCAAAAAGGCACAACTACGCCTTACGGGAGTTAAACAAGTACCTTTAACGGATGAGGAATTGGTAATTCAAAGAAAAAATAAAAAGAGAAAGTTAGATAAACGGAGTAATAAAAAACTGGTAATGTTTGAAGAAATAGAAGCAAACAATTTGTTTAATAGTTTGTTCACTAAATAAAAAAATAATTTGAAAAGTGAATTTTCTGAAATTTCTGAAATTATTAAAAATCTGGTAAAAAATCCTCAATAATAATCATACATGTAACCCTACTTATGGTTTGATTTACATAGTATATTAAACACCATAGTGTTACGTGGAAGGCATCTGGACATTTTTGATCAAAGTATGCCTAGCAGTAAGGTTTTACCCAATCACTGTTTATTTAGTATAGCATGTGGTGGACATCCAAATATTAGTAGAGTTTTAGCCAATCATAGTTTAGTGAATATATCATGTGCAAAACATCTAGACATTTTGATTAAAGTTTGTAAATCTAATAGTAGAGTTTTAGCCAATTATAGTATAGCAAATAGATCATGTATGGATCATCCAGACATTTTGATTAATCAATAAATCTACCCCCTAATGTGACTTAAACCTAATTTAAAATAACCCTAACCCCTAACCAAAACATTCCAATTGGTAAAAAATCTTGAGGGGTAACCGTACATTATTGTATACCAATACGTATTGTCACATTTTAAATTAAATACCGTGAATTGGATGTGACTTGGTACTGTAGTACTAAAAGCCCAAATGTCCTGAGCCCCAAGAATATTATGAGGCTTCTTCCTAGGTGGCGAATAGATGCTTAATAACATAGACTAACTCTGGCAAAAGTCACGTGATGCCACCACTAAGGTGGACTTTAAAATCTCTGATTAATGGAGTTATTTATGATATGCTAATCTTTGTCACAAAAAAAAGTAACAGGCCCCATGAAATACTCCTGCATTAGCAGGGGTATTTCATGGGGCCCATTACTTTTTTTTGTGACAGAGTAGGAAGATTATGTAGATTTCTTAACAAACTACAAAAAGATACAGCTTGTTTATATGAAGTATTTCACTGTTTTGTATATACTACAAAAATTTTTAACCAACATCATAACTTTGAATTTGGGTCAAAAATATTAGATAGAATAGAAAATCAGTAGAACAAATAGGAGCAACCGCTTTTTATTTTGTCTTTTGCATTATACCTGGAATATAAGCTATCAAAGTTTCAATTAAGTGTACAAAATCTTACTTGAATACATATTAGTTAGTGGCTACAAAATATTACTATGAGGCTTGGTTTAAATTACATTTATTTTATATTTTATCAGAGTTAATTAAATATAAGTGTAGTGAAGACCCATATAATATGGATTCTTTTTATCAGTTTAAGAGAAATTTGTTTGATTTTTGGAAATTAACAAGTGGTATTGGTTCTGAATTATCATGTGTAGCAATTCAAATTTATGGAATATGTGACAATTCTGCTTCTGTAGAACATCTTTAGTCAAATATGGGGTTTTTATATACAACATGTCAGAGTCGATTACAGGTTAATTTAAATTATTTTGTTAAATTAATTTTTTGTACTAAGGCTATACAAACTTAATAAATCAGTTCTCATAACCCAGCTGGGTCAAAATTTCTAAAACTCTAAAAAAAAATTTCAAGTATACTTACTATCTGGGTGAGTTTTTAAAAAAAAATCTAAAAAAATTTTATGTTTTTTATTTATAAAATTTTTTGAAAATAAAATTAAAAGCCAGGTTGCCGGGTCACTTTTAAAAATTTTATATTATAAGAACTGATTTATTAAGTTTGTATGGCCTAACTAATTTTAATTTTTATTAAATATATAAAAAGCCAAAAAAGGTATTAGCAATGAGTCAACTTAGAAGCGATATATTATATAGTCGTAAAGTTAGAGAAGCTCATAAATATGAAAAAGAAGTTCGTTAATTATATATCACTAAGCCTATAATTTTGAATGAAGGTGTAGAATTAAAGAATAAGGATGATCATAATGTAAGTAGTGATAAGAATGAGGATAATAAAACAAGTAATAAAGAAGGTGTTGAAATAATTTATAAAGATAATGGTATGAGTTTTTATTATTTCTATAAATTAAATCAATATAATATAATTATAATACTGATATTATATTTAAAAAGAGGCTATATAGAAAGTGAAGAGGAAGAAGAAAAACAATGATAGTATCAGTTTGTTGATAATTGGATTGAATTAGAAAATAGAGAAAACCAATTTGAAGATGAAGATGATTATATTTTTTCTTCTTCAGAATGGGACCACGATTTTAGTTTAGCAGGATGTACTATACATCCTGCTGATGATAAAAATGCAAAATGGCCTCTAGAATCTTTATGTATTTCTAATTTAGAGCTGCCTTCATTTTTAGGCAATGATCAGATTTTTATAAATGCAAAATAAAATCAGAATTATATGTAATATGTTTTACATTATTATTTTATAAGTAAATTTTTTTATTTTACTTTTATTTTCTTACTTTAACAATAAAGTTTTATGCATATACTATAAATATATATAAGTTAAAGCATATTATCTTTTAGATTATACATATATAATATTTGCTAAAAAGTTTATTATTATTATCTTGTATGAAATTACTTTAAATATATTACATTATTTAATTGCTATTTTCAATTTATTCTAAATTTTTATATACCTTAATAAAAATAACTTGTAACTTGTTAATGTTCTTAATATAATATTATCTTTCTCTTTCTTTCATTTTAACCTAGTTTTTTTGAGCTTAGTAATTTTTATTTTTATTTTTATTTTTATTTTTTTTTAGGATAGTTTTCTTGAATTTTGATTAACAAAAACTCTTTAAACTAAGACCGATTCCTAAAAAAAACTTGTCCTTTAATTTCTCAAGCGAGTATTCCATATTTCCTACACAATAAATTACATAGTTTATTCATTGTTATAGAACTATGATTTATTGCATAATAACTAAATACTACGAGAATTACGGTGTATTTAATAAAACCAGAGTTACTATGTAAGTTGCAAAGCATTACAATTGGTCATAATCAATTATCTATACTACTACTTTAGCTAATAATGCTGATACATAATCATTTTTAATGGGATACAGTAAGTTCGATATATTGGTTAGGTTGTGGATGATAACTGATTTATCGTTAGGTTACTATATAAATAACGTGGCTTTGCCATGTCATTTATATTTTTCTCTACGAATAATCAGTTTTCATTACAACTTAACTGATAACATCTTTATCCGTAAGGTCCGACGTAAGCACTGCCATTTTTCATATATATTATTCAATCTTTCTAATCATTAGACTCACTTTACTCTTTTTTTACGTTCGCTTACTTTTCTACTTTTGCTCATCATTTTTTTCATTTAACATTTTTTTTACTTTTTTTCCATCATTAAATCTTTTTTCTTTAACTTTCACTAATTTGAATTTTATGAGTTATACAAAAAGAAATAATATCAAAAAATTGAGTTTTCACATAATTAGAAAGTGATTGAATAATATATACAAAAAACATCTAGTGCGCACATAGAACCTGTCGGATAATAAAACTTAAATATTCGCACCTATAGTTGTTAGACGAAACTGTAAAGGGTGACAAAGACGAATATACAAATAAATATTGCTGAAATTATTGATTGTGCATAAAAAATAAACTAATAAAAAATTACAAAAATTTTATTTTAAAGCCTGTATTTTATAATGTATTATACTAGTATATTACGTATCAGTTCTAGTGAGAAGTTGCATGGTGCTTACTTTTTATGATCTTACAAATTTATTTTGTGCCAGTATGTTTTTAATTCATTATTTGTGTTATTCGATGAGAAAGTACTATGGCTTTTTGACAAGGTTATTTCAACCGGTCTATAACAATACTAGTGTTGTTTATTTTTTGCTAGCATATATGTAACTTCAGATACTGAGCTCTGAATAAATTATGAATGTTAATTCAATGAAAATAACATTTACTATTTGTATTCTTTTTTTTTTTTTAGAGAGAGCACTAGGGTCTCGTCTTTTTTAAGTGTAGTTTTAACATTTTAATTTTAAGGTTTGGTCTTTCGTCAGAAGAATTTGGGGGTTTGACTTTCGTTAGAGGTTTCGTTTTTTGTTATCATGCGAAAAAGGTTTCGTCTAACAACTATATTTGCACCTAGTTTTTAATTTGACTGTACTTATTTCAAAATATATATATACGTACATACGTATTATATAATATACATAGTTCATATATAGACCCTAATACAAATACTGTGTATTTTATGCAAAGTTATATAGTATATGAAAAATGGCATCCAATGAATTTTACAAACTTGAGAGCATATTTCACTTTTACTCTATTTTTGTTACTGTTAATTCTCCTACATCATAAAACCATAGATGATGAATTTAGTTCTAAAAGAAATTCTTGGAATAGAGAATGCACAAATTGCAACCGATATAACACATTTGCAGTTTGGTATAAGACATGTAATCCTCAGAAGACAACAAAGTGGAAATAAGGGTGTAGATAATTGTATCAAAGAATTTAAACTTAAAACAACAAAATACAAGATGTAATCGAATGGATTCCTTTTGAAATATTAGACAATATTTAGCAATATGGTTAGATGGAATACGCTATGCAAACTATAATAGTAAAGTTGATGATGGATATAAATATACACAGTCATATATACTAGTATATAAAGTAGAACTTAAAACATTAGCTAGATTACAAAACTTATTAGAAATGTTAAAAGAATTACTACTGTATGCTGCTTTATCTTATTAATTCATGTTTATATATTTATATATTTATAAATATTTAATAAGTTTACAGATTATGTACACTCAAAGAATCTAAACGTATATGGACTAACTTAAAACAACGTAACTATGTTAGTATTTAATAATGAATTAGAAAGGATTGGAATAGAAAATGTGCAAATTGTAACTGATATAATACATTAAAAGCTTGGTGCCAAATATGCGACATTTAAATAGTTATATATAACTCTGTGTATATGCGCAAGATTATTAATATAAATAAACTATAAGTAATAGCCAAAAAAAAAAAACTAGTCTTTTAGCATTATGGTATTATGATTATAAAGAATTTTATTAGTTATCTATATAAAATCATAGATCATATATATTTGCATGATTTATAACCGGTTATATATGTCATATGGTCATATAATATCATAGATCATATATACTTGCAAAATGACTAAATGATCTATGACTAGTCATATAGATCATATTGGTCATATATGTCATAGGCCAACACTGCCATTTCGCATTCCTGTGAAATTAGCAAAATTTAAACTCTACCGAAATGGAGTTGGATTTTATTTTTTTGGTGCACAAGTGCACCTATATTATGTGATCAACATGATTGATATATGATAATAATATTATCACTTTACAGTTTTAATTTATTAATTGAAAATATACATACTAATATAGTCATAAAAAATTATTTATTTGTACAGATTAATTTATTAATTGAAAAAAATATACATACTAATATAGTTTTTTAAAAAATTATTTATTAATTTACAAATTTCACCATTAACTACACACTAATGAAGCCATAACAGAAAATTCACATTCACAATAAAGTGTTAACGAAATACCGAATATAGCAAACAAAGCACCTGACACAGTACACAAAAAGATAAAGACTTTACTGAAGACACAAAAGACAATAACAAAAATACTTCGATAACGACGATGATACCAGAAGTTGCAAATCATGTAACAATCGAAACTGCAAAACGAAAGCAACACCAATGTCAAAAGCAAACCCAAATACGCATTTAAAAGCACCTATAAGATAAAAAGCGTTAATAACACACTTACAACTGATATACCAAAAACAATCAACAAAGAAAAATCTTATTTCTCAGAATTCTCAAAAAAGTCTAAAGACATCTATAACAAGCCAAGAAAATGAAGAGAAAGTCAATAATACAGCCACAATCCAAAACAGAAAGAATAATAAATACAAGAAATTATATTTTAGTGTTCAAACCAAAAAGAAAACTCCAAAACGCCTTTAATACCCTAGAAAGAATGGAGCATTAATAACAGTTCACAAGCCGGTAAACTGAAACAACAAATAAATAGAACTATCTATACATTCTAGCAACTATAAACCAACAAATTTAACAAATACTCTAACCTAACCTAACCTGTCTATATTGTCACATAATGAAATGCAACCAAGATTATAATGAGAATGATTTCATCAACTAAGAGCAGTATACCAATACACAAGAAGCAAAACCACAATATACCTAATAACAGCTCATGAAATTATGCCAAAAGCAGCAAAGTCTATACTAGCAACAAAACAACAACAAATCACCAAGGTATCAGCAGACAACGACACCAAATTGCAAAATGACAGCTTCGGTAATGACGAATAAACAACAAATAAGTAATTCACCAAGGCACTAGTGAATGACAAAAACGAATAATGACACCAAATCACAAAATGACAGCTTCAGTAACAATGAATAAATATCTATTGACTAAAAAAAATATATTAGTAATGATTAAAACAAAAAGCAAAAAAAAAAAAATTTACTGATTAGATGATCACTATTTATACCCCGTGATTAGGGTGCATCAAATTATAATTCTCAAAATAAGATAATTAATAAATATTGTATTATACACTGCATTAGTACATATTTCTATTTTCACTATTAAATTATATATAATTTAAAAGACTAATATACAGATTAGTGATGGGCATATCAGCAAAAAAAAAAAATTTTTTTTAATACTCTATATAGAAAAAAACCTATAACCAAATATTAAATTCTAACTTTAAAGAAGCTGGATATTTTTGTTTAATAAATACTGGAATAAATCTATTAACATTAACCTGATTTTGATTGGCTAAGAGTGATAAAAAAAAGATTAGGCCAGAATTACTCATAATTTTACTAATAAAACCATAGCTGCCTATTAAATGAAAATTGTTCATAGACCAATTTTACCATAATGCAGACTTATTTTTTAAGGGTAGAGGGTATGTAGATTATTTCTATTAATAAACTAGTTACTAAAAATTTTATATTTAATAATAAAGAAAA